TTGTGTGGAACATGACATTAGCAACAATGGATGGTTCCATGCTATTCCATAACCACACCAAAAGTGTATCATTCTCTCTCATCCAGTCACTATAGTCTTTAGAGTTTTCAGCAGGGGGTTCTGTAGTAAGATAATTAAGTTTCCCTTTGGCATTAATATAAACCTTCACAGCTTGAGCCCATAGCAAGTAATTGGAGGATCCATTCAATTTAATGGTGGTAATCTGAACATTGACACTGTCCATAGAAGACTTAGTGCCACTCATGGTGAAAATCTCATATAAATATATCTACCACCGATCAAAAAGGCCAAAACTTCAGTGCAAGAAATAAAACAGCAATACCAACATATAATCAGATGCGATTGGCTCCATCAATCAAACAAAGGGATGCTGAAATCTTATAAATATAGGCTGCCTGATCCTTGAATCTGCTGATCAGGAAGTGTTGTAATCCATTGTCACAAACAGAACCTGATAAATCTGATTTCTCCTGATCTTATATGTATCGGGACTTGAAGAGAAAATAGGTAAAAATTGCAGCTTTAGGTGGCTACGCACCAGAGAAGGAATAGGGTTATTAGGGGACTCTCAAACCAGCAATAGGACCAGGGAATCTGGTAGTCAAACTGTGCTTTGATACCATGTTACTAAGCTGATTAGAGAGCCCGCAGAAAAATAACGAGAGAAAAGAACGAAGAGAGAAGAAAAAGAGAGGAGAAGAAGAGAGAAAGAAAGAGATTGTAAAATCCAAGAAAGGGGCTCTTGGTTTCTGTGTGTAACAGAAACCCTACACCCATCACGATATATTTATATTAAATATGAATTTTATATGACCATAATGTCCTTATATATGTAAAAAGGAATAAAACCTAGAAAATAAAAATAATTCTACTCTAACAGGAAGTTTGCCTCTCGTGCTTCATATTGATAGTGTTGCATACATTCATGCTATAGGTGGTGTTGGTGCTTATCTAGGCTCCCCCCCCCCCCCCCCCCCCCTAAATATGCGCACGCTTACTCATTTAAAGTTATTTTTTCCTTGTGGGAACAACCTTGTGTGTTAATAATTATTTAGTCTCAGGTACACAAAGAACAACCCTGTTTTTGATTTATTATTCGATTTACTGAGTCGACATAAAGATTTCCGCAAAAGAAAGTAAGGAAAGCATGAGAATTGGAATAAAAAAAGAAAAGAAATAGGGAATGAAGTCAAGAGCTTTGAGTATACTGATCGGAATTCATCCCTGCTGTTACTGAGCTCTTGATATGTTGTGCAGGATAATGGCTGTTTTGCTATGTGCACTTTACATGTGCATGGTTTATGGGCTTTATGTTCCAGATTGGGAGTATCAAGCTGTCAAAATGAGCTTCTCTAGCAATCAATCCAGCCTTCATAATGTGAGTTCTCATGACTATAATTGTCGGTATTTCCTGATTGAAGTTGTTCATCTGTTTGTTATTCTATCCTTTACCTGCTTTTTAGCCTATTCCTTATTGCATCATGTGTTGGTTTTGGAAGTGGATAGCAGAAGTACTTGCCTCAACATGTTTTGCGCGGCCACGTCTCTTCTCTTAAGTCATATGTTGGTAAATTAGAATAGTCGACAATGTATTTAATATGGAGTATGTCTAGGGGAACTAGATCATATGCAGCGACTTAATCTGCTGTGAGAAAATACTGAATGGGAGTGTGGACTTTTTCATGTTTCTCAAGTTTGTCAACCATTCACTGTGTCCGAGCTTCCTCATAATGCTCCACTGAGGAAGCAGTTTTTATCCGAATTGACCATGATTCTGCTAATAATTTTAGAAATGAGCCCAAAAAGTAGTTTTTTTGCCTGTATTGCTTGCTTCCTTTTCTTATTCTAGGATGTTGGTTTTTGCCCTAAAAGCACAAATGAGTGATCATGTAGCTCTGGGCCTTTGTGCCTAGTTTATCACTTTTAAACAAAAGGCTGAGTGATTGTTGGACAAAGTTAGTTATTGCGGTATGTAGCCTAATTCAGCTAGGAAGGTAGTTCTCTCTATGAAGTGAAGTTTGCTTGATGATTATATGAGGTTCAGATCATGGATTAACTTGGATTATAGATAAGATATTAACTAAATCAAAATGTAGTTTCTGTTTTTACGTGATTGTGTCTAGATCTTTGATTGGAGTATGTGCCTGGTTATAGTTTCACGTCGAATTATTGCCAGATGATATTATACCCCCATTTACTATCTGACAGGTTTACTGCAAGACTAGGGGCAGTCTTGAACCTCCATGCAATGCCGTGGGTTTTGTCGATCGATATCTTCTTGGAGAGAGTCATCTTTATCAGCATCCTGTCTACAGAAGATCAAAGGTTTCAGCTAGCTCTAACAAATTGTCATATCTTGCATAATGCTTCCTAATTACCTTCCCGGACTTTGTCTTATATGCAATGTCTCTTGTTATCAACAGGAATGTAGTGTCAATTCTCCCGACTATGGGTCCTTACCACCAAATTCACCTGGTTGGTGCCTTGCTCCATTTGACCCAGAGGGTGTTTTAAGGTTCGATTGTCATGATCTACAAACTCATGTTGGGATAACTAAGATTTAGTTTCTTATACATTCAATAGCCTCATGGTCCTAATAAGTGGATCTCCAGCTCCTTGATGGCTGCTGTTACATGTTTCGTGGGTTTGCAGTATGGACACATTCTTGTTCATGTCAAGGTATGATGTTTCTTTCTATTGTTTGATAATTATACTGTAACGTATCCTTCCATTACCGCCTCCCTCTTTTGGTTTTGGAACTTGTTCAGCTAGTATATGTTTTGGTTGAATGGTGACTATTGTATATTATGGCTTTGCTACAGAGCCATGGACAAAGGATGCTTTTCTGGTCCATGTTTTCCTTACCCCTACTGATGTCAGGATATGTTTTGGAGATCCTAGGTATATTTTTTAACTCAGTTTATATTAGAAAATCCTCATTTCATCTAAGCTGTGGCTTTTTGCTATAACAGGTATTCCTCTTTGTAAACCACTATATACACTTAGCTATATGTGCATCACAGCTGGAGTATCTGGCTTGCTGTTAACCTTAATTTTTTACCTGGTGAGCTACTCTTTCTATGGATTCTTCATTGGTCCTGTTCAAGTGACTTCCTTCATCCCACTTCTTCCTCTCTCCCTCTTCTTTCCGGACACAAGGGGATATCTCCCTCTCCTTCTGTTCTATTGTCCTCCATGGATGGTGGAAAATTTCAACAATAGGGCAGAAGCATAGTGCTTAATGTTTACACCATGAACATGATCTTTAATGCATGAATAGATCTTGAAGTAGGAGTATCCTATTAAGGCAATATGAAACATGAGTTAAATGCAAGTCAATCACCACCTCCGATTTGGCTAAATCTGATGTGTTCTCATGTGTCCACATAATAGCATGAGTCCTAAGGTTGAAGAATTCTTTCTCATGAATTGGTCGTTAAATACTCGGTGCAGGTGGATGTGAAGCACTGGAGAATGCCAACAGTGTTTCTTCAGTGGATGGGAATGAATGCTCTCATCATTTTCGCTTTGGCAGCTTGTGAGCTTTTCCCTGCAGCCATGCAAGGTTTCTATTGGCGCTCCACTGAAAACAACTTGGTAGGTTTTCTTCTTTATCTGCTCTTACAATTTTGTTGTTCCCGCCTATTTTTCCATCTACAGAAGAAATTGGGAGTGGACTGTTAACAGTTTATGGAATTTCAAGATTAACACAGACAGGGAAGAACTTGGTCTGGAATTAATGCCTAAAGCCAAAACTGAAAGAGTAAAAGGAAGGCTTCCATCTATACATTAATATCTCATGGCTAGCTCAAGTTATGAGAAGTTATATGGGATGCGACATTGTCTGTCTGCATAAAGAGTTAGTTAGCTGAACACTCTAACAACAATAGTCAGTCAAACAAGATGGCTGGAGTTTGGCATTTAACTAAATCCCTTCTTGCATCTACTGAATGCTGAATGCTGAATGATATGGTTGATCGTGTGGGAAGATTCCTTAGTGATGAATAACGTGAAGCCGTGTATATATTGCAGGTTGATATCGCCCAGAGATTACTGCAGGGTGCATTTCATTCGAAGAAGTGGGGTACTTTGGTGTTTGTAATGCTTGAGATTTTGTTTTGGGGTTGCGTTGCTGGTTTCCTCCATATGAAACGCTTATATGTCAGACTATAGTGTAAACAAGCTCGAGTTTAACTGTCATTGATAGTGTAAATATCATTTGAAGTCAAGAATCTCATTTTGCGACGTATGGTAATATTGCACCACAAATAACCCAGAAAATCAGCTAACCTTGTATTTTATTTCACCAAACAGCTCGCCTCATGTTTAAACATGCCGAATATAGTCATGGATGTTGAAATGCTAATTGTTTGGTCATATAGTCCAGGTATTAAACTTCCTATTCTTTAGGTTATGAAGTTTCATCCCAAGGTTAGATGCTTTTCGTTGTAATTCACTACCCACATTTAAAATGGAAAATCAACTTTGGCATCTTCGTTCTGTTAGTTGCCGGTCGGGAGAGTACAGGAAATACCCTACTGGTTCGGCTACTCCCAATAAGTAAAGATTTCTACTCCACAGGTCAAAGAGCTTTGTTTTTGTGCTAATCAATATCGCCGCATTGAAATAGGCTCGTCGCCCTTCCTTGCATGGGCCGAATCTCGTCATGAAATAGGGATTCGCTGTGCATTGCATATCAGCACTCCGGTAGTGTCAGAGCTGAAGTAGGAGACACCGGATTATCGCCTGTATACTCAAACCTATCAATTTCCGCTACTTCCTGCTAGGGGACACCGAGGCAGACTTGGCTTTAAAAGTAACGAACATGCGAAAATCTGTGCGCACCAGATTGTAGCCTGTATATTCAAACATACCATTTTCTCCTCCACTTTCATCACCAGGAGACTTGAGCTTCTTTGGGGAAAATGACGAGTCCATGTTTGTTCAGCAAAGGTAAATACGGGAAGCAGTAGGAGATGGAAGAAAAGACCTGTATATAATTTGATTCTACAAATCACTTTCTGTTATGTGATCAGTTCATTCCGTACATATACTACAAGTTAAAACATAATCAGACTAAAAGCATCATCTACCGACCAAAAAATGCTTCTTTGTGTCGATCATCTATTGAGTAACTCAATATACAAGTAAGAGAGTCGACCAAAAGAAATGTCCCTGCAAAGTTCATGATTTGACCTCCGGACAAGAGTAGGTCTGTGCGTACAAAATTTGAATCGCCGCAAAAGAGTAGTCCATGGTGTCTCCGTTAGCTATAGGAAGCCAAGCCCATCTCCATTCAAATCATCACCCTGCATCATTGGGCACTAGGCTGTACCATGTCCCGACTGCCCACAGCAAGGCATGGAACATCTCCTTTTCTTATAGAGATCCACACCGCCTCTTATTTGTCTCTCTTTCATTTTTCCAGTGGCGAAAGACTCGAGAGGGTCCCGACTGCAAAACAGTGAACTATACTATCAGACTCTTCGATTTCTCCGTTAGCTATAGAAAGCCAAGCCCATCTCCATTCAAATCATCACCCTGCATCATTGGGCACTCGGCTGTATCGTGTCCCAACTGCCCACAGCAAGGCACGGAACAACGTCTCCTTCTCCTATAGAGATCCACACCATCTCTTGTTCTTCTCTCTTTTATTTTTCCAGTGGTAATAGACTCATGAGGGTTCCCGACTGCAAAACCATGAACTATACTATCAGACTCTTCGACCTCCGGAAGAATCAATGACTCCGGCGGACTATTGTAGCCAATTTCATCAGTTTCGTGTGGATGCCTACAAAATTCTTTTATTCGAGAAAGTGCTGCGCCTATTTGGTCACAGGCAACGTCTAAGCACTCTTCTGACTCGACAGATTCTGAAATTAGTGATACCATAGACTGCAATAGCTGCACTTTCCCAGCATACTCCCCAGATGTCCTTGCACTACTTTTTGTACCACACCAACGGAGAGGCAAATAACGGTCGGGAATGTGAAAACAGTTGCTGTTTGATAGAACCCGGAGAATGTGACGACAAAGGATACCTGAAAATTCAAACTGGTGGCAGCTGCAGCTGATGAATTCATCTTGAGGGATCCAGAGTACTTTGTATCCTCCATCCATCTGTGTGTGGTGTCTCACGATGAAATAATTTTCATCTACCATTAGAGAGGCATATTGCGGTGCCATTACAATTTCCTCTTGTAGTTTGGTAAATGCATACGGTGTTAGAACAGAAGCAGCATGAGATTCAATCGGAGATCCAGTTTTGAGGGTGACTTTGTGGATTTTTCGTTGCAACTTTTGCTTTGCCCCTGCTTCGTCCTTTAGTTCAACTATAGCAGCGACCTGCAATGAGAGATATAATATCAGGATGCAGATAGAATTAACCATAAGTTCTTCTATAATATGGAGAATGTAAAGAGACTACTACAACTCACCTGCTCCACTAAATTATCAAGATCTGATTGAGCACTTAAAATCCTCTGGATGTAAGCACTGACTGCCTCAGATTGGATAGTGCAGGTCATTCCCGCACAAAAGTAAGATCTCAAATATGGAAGGGCCCAAAACATACGCAATGCGTACAAGCTATTGATATGCTTATTTCCATGTAGCCCATACATGCTGACCATCTCCCTCCATCCTTCTTCAAAATCTTCCACGCTATGCAAATCATAGAGATGATGAAAGTCTGCCTTCCATTTGTCATATCGTGGCCCAAGAAGCACTGAAAACCAATCAGAGAACTTCGCAACAATATGCCAGATGCAAAAAGCATGTTTTGTCCTTGGCATCTGATCTGCAACTGCTTCTTTCAGCCACATGTTCCGGTCAGTCAAAATGGTTCCCGGAGCCTTTCCATTCATGAAACCCAAGAATGTCTGTTGCATTTAAGGTGTCAAGCTAAAAATGAGATAACCATGAAAACTAGAAAAAAAGATATTGCACGTATTAGAGTCAGAAAACTGTTATGTCTCATATCAAGATGCTAGGAACATGGCTAAAACATGAGAGCATTGGTTGGGAGAATAGAACTGCCGAGTCTTTTGTCATCTAGAAGCAATATGATTTAGGTTGTTATAATTCTTTAGGCTAAGTTTCACCAGCTACAAGAACAGCAAGAGTTATTCTTCAGCAAGAATTTAGAAAATGCAGAGAGAGAGAGAGAGAGAGAGAGAGAGATGTTGAACTCCCAATAAAGGAAAAAATGTACTCTTACTCGCGTGCGGCGTCCCCCCCTCCCCCCCCCCCAAGGTCCTTTAGATCCCCAACCCAAACATGTGACTCACGCTCAGATATGATTGCTTGAGCCAAATGGCAATACTTACTTGCATGTTAAGAAGATATGAAGTGTGCCTCCAATTTCGGTTGTCAACATGAAAAGCAATTCAACTAGCCTAAGTTCAGCCATTTGGCCAGACCGAAATCTTAATGTACAGCAACAGCAAAAAAAAAAAGATATCAGATTCTAGCATATATTCAATAAAACAATGGCAGAAATGGTCCATAATGGTATAGGTCTTCTAGAAATGAGAAAAGTACCTACCTTCAGTGCCCATGAAAAAGACTGCACATTCTCATCCCGAAGAAGTACACAACCAAAGAAACAATTCATTCCATGATTATCAACTCCGACCCAAATTCCTAATATCATATCATAAGCTTCTAAACGGTGGGTAGTATCAAATACTGCCGCATCTCCGAAAGCCTCATAGGATCTAATGGAAGAAGCATAAGACCATGCAATATATTCCAATCTGTTATTTGCATCTAGCTGGAAGTTGTATTTGAAGTTGGGATCTTTATCCTTCTTATCCTTGCACATTTTGAGAAGGTCTATAGCGTCATTATCACGATCCACGCGTCTAAAAGATTGTAACAAGTTCCTGACATCTATTTCCGTGAAAGGCAAACAACCAAGCTTGACACCCTTCTCCAGCTCCATTAATCTTAACATTTGTCGCACTGACATCCCAGCTTTTGCATACATGCAAATCCGGCTCTTGTCATCCGCAGACATGGTGCAGTAAGCAGGAAGCAGGTGCACATCATTTGATTTAAAGAGTTCGTGATTGTGGATGTTACTAAAACCGGTAATTCGCCATTCAGGTACGTCAAAATCAGCCCTTTTAACAATTCGCATGAATGCTTGACATCCGCAACGAGATGACTTTCGATTTCTTTGCAGCTTTCCATCATCAGAAGGCTTTATCTGCGGATAGCCACCACGGTGACAGGTGAAATCCCTTCTGGTAATCCCCCTCCCCACCCCATCTTTCCCTCGAGTTCGATGCCGTCTAATTGAAAAGCCACACTGCTTTGCAAAGCTGCAATAAAACTCATATGCAGCATCTTGTGAAACAAATCTCTGGCCAATAAATGGGACGAGATTAATTGAAGTTTGTCGAGACAATATGGTTTCCTCAGGCAATTCCTCTATGGTACCAAAATCATTTGGGGATGAAACAGTATTATTTTCAGAAGTTTCCTTCATCACGCTTGTTAATTCAGACATCATTGCACCATCTATAAATCAGTGCTGGAGCACACCTGCAAGAAAACCTTTGAAGATGGTGATACTAGGAACATGACATGGACATAAACCACTAATATGAAACAGAAGATGTTAACAGCAGTGACCCGTGACATTAATACACCTGTTACCATGATACATTCTTTGCAGGAAATCTTCTAAGAGTGCGTACAAGCCCCGAAAACAAATGGAGGAAAACTCCAGGATGACTTGCATTTGGCTTTTAACATGACTTTAGTCATTTCGTGATGAAACTCAAGGAACGAATTTTACTAAGGCACATTCTGCCTCCACCCTCTCCACACAACATTAACTTCAGTTACCTCCTATCACCTCTTTCCCCACAAACACATTGCTGATTGTATTAAGACTGAAGCTGCTGTACAGAATATCCCACAGTATTCTCAGGATCATCCGGGTTAATGCTCATGCTGACATCACACAACCCCGGTCTGAACAGGAAAAACAAAGTGCCACAACACCTGAATACTTCATTTGCAGCGAAATTTCACGCCTGAAGCAAACAAGCCTGTCCAAAACATAACCACCATATTCTCATCTCACTGCAAACACTCTAAAATGGAATAAAACAAAATCTTGACTTACCCAAATAGATTTTCCCCATAAACGAGTATCCTGCCTGCATTACTCGTATCTGAACTACATTCTAATCGATAAATCAACTATAATCGAACGCACAATCTGGTCAAACGTGCCCCCCAACGTGAGTCCAGCTACACAACATCGCTTCGGCATCAATGCCATCTCAAAACCCAACTTCCACTTCCAGTGCAAATTCGAATCTTCCCACGAGACTGTTCAACAAAGAGGCACTGATCATATCCTAATCGATTCCAGCGAAGCTAAGCCCGCAGCTCCGACAGCCCAGAATCCAACCAAAATCAACACAATGCGCGAAATTCAATCAAACCATAGCCCCAGGACACATCGGCAAGCACTTCTCTAATGCACAATCAAAAACCGGCTCATCATCACTCGGGATCACTCGATCGATACTGGAACGAAATCAGCGCACGAAGTCCGCTGAGGAATCGGAACGAAGCTACTCACCTGCCACGCGAGGGAAGAGCGGCTCAGCAGGAGAAGACGCGAGCTTGCAGGATCTCGAAACGCTTCATCTTTCGCGGCAGGGAAGAAATTTTGCGGCGAGCGGCGAAGAACGAGCACGGCGGGGGGATTCGGGGAGACGATGGAGGGTGTGCAGAGCGCATCCGCGGAGGAGGATAGCATTCGAATAGGGGGAAATGCTATCTTGCGCCGAGCGTGAGGGTGGTGCGGGGCGTTTTGATCGTCGATTTGATCACAGGTTTTTTCGGCCGTGGTGATCAATGCCGGCCCGGCCCGGCCATTGGAATAATACATAACACATAGCAAAATTAATCAAATAATTGTTTTTTTTGGTCATTTTACTTTTTTCAGCTGAAAATCCCGCCGCGATGTTAATAAATCTGTTATTCTGTGCAAAGTAAATATCTGTATGAAGCTCTTTTATTTGACGGAAATTAGATAATTTTAATTTTCGACTCGTGCTTTAAGAAATGGATAGAAAATTACGGTAAGGTATCATGTCATTTCATCACAAAGCTCATTGGAGAATTACATTTCGTTGATTTCACAAAATCTTATGAGATGTTCGATATCACTAATAATGGACCTAGAGGCTACCCCCTTAAATTAAAATAACATTTATAATATAAATTTTCAAGTATATTTATATATCTATGATATATTAGTTTAAAAAAAACCATCCCGTCCCTCTCTAACTCAGACTTCTTGGTTTTCCATCGAATTTGATCCGTTTATATATCCGTCCAGATGCAGCCCTCCTACATTATTTAGTTTACTAATTCTTTAGACCCGACATTACTTAAAATTGATATGTGAGCAAGTTAAAAGCCTTCACAATTATAATTAATCCGGAAAATATTTTCATCCCAAACCTTTCCAATGGAAGTAAACGACGAGAAGCTGCAGCCATTTCACTTGCAAGTCCCGATAGCTTAAACTTTCGGGTTCAATTTTTTATCGGCAATCGCCTCCTCCATTTCGTTTGGAACTTCATTGTATCAATGCTATGATTTGCTTGCGAAAAATCAGCTCCTCCACAAACAACGTGTTATAACCAGAATCGCAATCTTTCCAAAATAGATGCTCCCCTTTTTTTTGGAACCCACGGAAATATTACAAGTTTCGATTCCATAATGAAACAAAGTTTTACCCTCCATAAGCAAAATGAACATCTTCCAGCTTTAAATTTTCTTTATTTTTTCTATAATCTAAGGACATTGACGTAAAGATTATATACTCCGATTACTAGAATATGGTGGGTGTCGACGATGAATAACAAAAAGTGCAATGCAAAAAGTACAAACATTTATAGAAGAAGTAGAAAATAGACGACGTCGACTCTTCCCCCGACTCTTGACAATTTTCATGTGCTTCTTCCTTAATTTAATGTCCTAACATTGCAAAAGAATAAACCAACCACCAAATGTAACAATAAAAATGAAAATACATAAGGTATAAATAGACACCATCATTTTCTCTTTTTAATCCAATCTCCTCAGCCTCACACGACGTCCGTCGGCCTATGCAAATTTCATTTCTTTTTTTTTTTTTTTTGGACAATAACATATGCAAACGAAGATCATCGTTTATTTTCGAAAACCCTAGTTATTACGTGCATGCATGGCAACATATACGTCGTCTGTACCGACAGATTGTTAATGAGCATGACGCTTGCTGCGCCGACGGATCATCTCGTTGTAGTTCTGCGCCCTCATCTGCTGGTAAAACTGCGCGATGAACTCCTCGGCCTTGGCATCGATCATGTCGTCCCCACCATTTGCATCGTAGGCACTGCCCTCGTCGTCCTCGTCGTCATCGGAGTCCCCCTCGGCGAGCTCCTGCAAATTGACCGCGGAGGCGTAACGGCTCGTGCTCCCCCCAGAGGTGGACGAATGAGAAGGCGAGTATGGCCTAGCCAGCGTCGACACGGGGGACGCTGGGAGAACGTCCACAAAGTGGTCGCCTGGGGAGGGCAGCGTGAGCACCAGTGCAGGGGCAGCGGCCTCGCGCGGCGGGGACTGGTGGCCCTGCATGTGCAGGGGACGCATCGAGCCCACGACCTTGTTCAGCACGCCGCTCGCGGCCACCTCGATTTGGACGGTCGGCTTCGACTTTTTGCCCGATCCACGGCGTATCATGAACAACGCGGTCCTCAGGAGGTGCATCGCCCCACGCTTCTTCTTGGGCATCGCCTGTGGCAGTTTCTTCTCGTCTCTGATGACGACGATGGCATTGGCCGGGACGGCGGCGGCGGCTACGGTGGTGTTCGGTTTGCTTTCCATATGGGAAAGTTTAGGGGAAAGCAAGGAGAGGATGATGGATCGATGGCTGGCTTATGTTGCCCTGCAAAAATGCAGGGCGAGCTGGTAGAGAACTTTGAGAGATGGTGTTCAAGCAATCGCCTCATATATATATTGAAGGTCTCCAGTTTCATTTGCTAAGTTGGCATTTGTGCGCGTAAAAGAAGGTAGCCAAACTGTAGTCCCATATAGAATATTCCGAAGGGTTCAGTTTAGCAGTGCCGTTGACAAATTGACGAAATTAGACATCTCAGTTTGATCATACTTAAATTGGCTTCTATACATTATAATCCCTTAGAAAGAGAGAAAATAAGAATTCGTGGAGTACTTATTTCTCTCCCTCTTAATATTAGGATCTTGCTAGGGACACTTATTAACTTTGCATGCATAAAAAACAAAAAGAAATTTGCCGAAAGCGAGCGAATGTACAATTTGGTTCTTTCGCGACAATGAGATGTTCGGATTCATCTCTACCGGATGTTACGATAGACGGGCCGGAGTAATTACATGAGCATAGGGTTCGTGCCGAGAGAGGCACCCCAAGAGTGATAATTAGGATACAAAATCCATCTTCTCTAGTTCTTTTTCCTTCATTTTCAAGACACGGCCTATAGACTATTTAATAACTATGTTTAGGGTGCTCTTAATGCACTTCCTTTGGCAGTTGTTATGACACGAGGAGAAACCAAGTAGCAGCACCAAATAATCAGAAATTGCAGAGGGTAAAAATGGTCATGAGAATTTGTCCAAATTTTATTTTTGGTTGGTCAGACTATTTGTCCAAATTCAGTATAAAAAAAAATTGCACAGAGAGAGAGAGAGAGAGAGAGAGAGAGAGGTGTTTGTGTCGGAAACAAGAGGTGGTTAATCGTTTCCTGGGCAGTGCCGGTTCTTACGCCTGTGACCCCGCTCGTTGTTTCTTGCCTTCCTCAACTGCCTTCTCTCTCTCTTCATTATTAGCCATTGTTATTGGCAACAGCTTTGCATGCATAAGCAAAACTTACATACCAAATTCCCTCTTTCCACAAACCATGCACACACAAGGTGCATACTCCATTCTTGTGTATCGTCGAGCCCAATGAATATATCTTTATGTTTGAAACATTCGGTCGAGCCATTCACGCACCTCTCGTTTGGTAACATGTTTCGTTCGCCCGAGATTTACCCATTTAATTAAAGTGGGCAACCTTTTTGTCATTCAAAAGATGTATGTATTTCTTTAAATATTTCAATATAAATAAGATATGATCCATGGCCGCAGCTTTGTCAATCTCGATCTCGGGGTTGGCGTCGTAAATCGAGGCGCTTAAAGGAATTCCTAACTCGGGAACCGAAAGTTACATGTTCAAATTTCACAGATTGCGTGCAAACTGCTTTAGATCATATCAATCGAATATGTAACAAGTATAGTCATTAATAGTTTATGAGGCTCGCAAGGTGTTTCACGGGTTTTTGTGCCCATTCTAAAATTATAGAAAGTGCGAAATGTTGGAAGATTTGACGAACTTTCTGGTTCAATACAGTGAAACTCTAATTGGATTCCTCCACCTGTTTTTTTCGTTGCTGTGCTAGGCATGGGCTTGAAAAGACGCACGCAAATCTATTCCTGTTGCAGTCATTGTAGCTCCCCCCACTTGATCGCGTGGGAATATTATTATATGCTATATTTAATATAACATATTATAGGAAACATTACTATAGCAATTTGATCTACCATTATATAACCATGTTAGGATCGATTCATTTATAGTCGTCATTTTGCACCTATCAAGTAGTTCGTGCAAGTTCATGCGAGATTAACTCTAATAGTTATAGCATGAACTGACCTTGAAAGATGTTGGTAGTTAAAACTCTCAAATCGATGGTGATTTAGAACAATTGCGCAAAAAAGTTCTCTAATATTGACAATATATGATCTAATTTTTCGGCTCTCAATTTTCGGGATACTATTATACAAATGATATTCGATGGCTCCTTTCGCTGACTTCGAGAACAAATGCTTTACTACAGTGGCTGTCTTTTGAACCTCTAATTATTGGTGAAAAGTGAAGCTGATTGATCGAATCAAAATGAAATGAATAAAAAGGGAAAATATTTTCATAGACTCATATGATGATCCAACTAAAAATTGATTAATTGGATTAGAAAGAGGACCAGACGTTTACTTGGACAAATGTCATGTTAGAAAGATGGCAAAAGCTCTCTAGTTGTGTCTATCGAGGGGTCATGTAATGGTCCAGTTAATTTATTTTCTAAGTGTCATAAGCATTCAAAAACTAAAACTATGCCCTTATTTATACCAACTCGGAATTTATGATAAACATTGGCAATGACATAATGATAAAATTATACACTTAAAAAAGATCTCGGATATTTAATATCCACGTTCCCCTTAGACACTCTAATGGTGGCTAACTTGGTAGATTGTATCGTATTTCTCAAATCATATGAATCCAGGGCACGTGTTATTAAGCATACTTAACAAGGAAATATTCAATTTTCAATGCATGCAATGTATGTATATCACGAGAACAATCGATTGGTGTATTACAAATTAATGGGGCGCTTCTTAGCAGAACTCTTTTTCAGCAATGCTCGCTATGTCAACAACATTTAAGATACTCTATGTCTTAAAAGAAAAGTTAGATGGCAAGTCACTTTTAAATTTGTGCATTACAAATTGTTCCCTACTTTTAACAAAACCAGAAGACAGAATACACGCCTTAAGCTTACATTGCTTCAAAAATCAGAACATGGAAAACACAAAGCGAGTCCGAATTTCCTGGTATTGAAAGCTTGGAACACGTCTTTTGCCGCGTTCCAGTGGGAACATTAAGGCGACAACATAAAGTGACGTGCCAAAGTCAAACAAACGAAGCTGTACGAAGCTTGACCTAGAGGGTTTACTTCTGTATGTGTATAAGTTCAATCAAGCGATGGTACCGTACAGGCGTCGTCGTGCGGGGTATGCGCTCGGACTTCGAATGATGTCGATACGGATGGATCCGCAAGTGCCATGCGCATATCCAACGCACGGGACAGGCACGACCCGTCGCATCAACCGTAATATTCAAATGACCCCGATCACGATGTAGGTGCTCTTAACCTGTTGCCCGACCCGGCAGGCCGGAGTAATCTCAACGCACATCGCGCGGCGGGGATGTAACATAACAGTAACACCAGTATCTCCTGAAAACCAGGCGAAGCCTCACATGATTTCACAGCTAATGACATGAGAAGGCTCGAGGTAAGTCTAGGGATGGATGGGGTCCACGCTGAAGGAAAAAAATGGATGCCAGTGAAGTAAAACTCCAGCTTGTTAATCCGCGTAAGGCCGTGTTCGCTTCCTCTTCAGTCTTCACAGACATTATATAACAACAGCATCGCACACCTGACAATTCCAAAGTAAAGATCAAGAAGCTTATACTGGTCTTTCGTCTCGCTTCCTCTTCACCCTCTCTTTCTATCTCGCACTTGCTTATTTACACCACGAAGAAAGCATCTTCTCCGCTGTTGGGCTTGCGCTCGTTTGCCATTCGTCGTCCTTGCCGTCCTTGTAACACGCCCTGCGTCCAGAAATGGCGAGCAGGGACTCCGGCATTGCCCGCAGAGCTTGGGACATGCTCCGCCTCGCTCTGCTGTGGCTGACGAGAGGCGGCGTGTTCAGGCGGCTCCTTGCGGTCAAGTTCCGGCTCGCAGTGACTAGGTTCGTCGAGAGCATCGGCAGTGGCTGCGGCCGCCGCAGCTCGATGCCTCGAGATAGAATCCGCTATGGGGAGCACGAGTTCTCGTTTGACGAGACTCCGATCTTCCGCATCAAGATGCACCGTCCCAGAGGATCCATGATGTCCCACTTCCGCCTCCCTCGCATCCCCTGCATCAGCCCGGATGTCGATTTCGACCGTGGCTTCTTTGAGCACGACAAAGACGGCGACTGGGAGAGGAAGAGCTTGGTTGGCGATCGAGACGGAGGAGAATGCATGTGCGATGGAAAGGCATCGGAATCGTGCGAAGGAGAAGGGATTGACGTGAGAGCAGAGGAGTTCATAGCAAAGTTCTATGAGCAGATGAAGCTGCAGAGGCAGATTTCTTACTTACAGTACACGGAGATGCTCAACAGGGCCGCCAGCTGAATCATAAGTCCACAGTACCCTTCTGGTTCTGCGTTTTTTGCTAAGCGTGCGACATGTTTGTACAGACTGGAGCTTTAACACGTCTTGAGTATTGAGTTTCATTGTTCACCATCTTCAATGTCCTCGTTCACTTCAGTGGATTTCATTTCTTATATAGTTATATTCATATTCATCATTTTTTGTAATACTATTTAATTATATATTCAGTGCCCAGAACAAACATCATACATCTGTTACGTATAATGCTGATGTGATATCCACAAAACAACCATACCTATCCGTGATTTGGAATTCAGAAACTTTGCGGCCATCATGTCAATGAAATGAACGGCTCTTTCGGCTTCGGTGCAATACCTCTTCAACGCAACATGTGGTATATGGATAGAAGAAATACTCTCAAGATGCATATGCCGTCGCCGAATGTACTAAGAAATCCCTCTGGGCTTCCGTACATGTTTGACGAACTGCGTAAATTTTTTCTGCCGCGAGTAATTAGACTTCCCCTAGATATCAACTTCACTCTACCCAAAGAATTTCACTTCAACAATCACGTAGAAAGTATCATGAGGAATTTGGTACTGAAAAGGATCCGAGGCGTACCCGCAGTGTGTCCGATTGTAGATCAGAAGTTCAAAACTCACGCAATGATCTGATATGTATGTATGTAAGAACAGAGAATAGAAATCTTACACATGGAATCAATGCCTGACAAGAAAACGGAATTTGCCAAGAAAAGAAGTTGGGGCTGACATGGAATGCATACACAGCGATGCCTCTGTGATGTTCATACTCTATTTGATTGGTCCTAAAAACAAGCGTCACCCGGCATTGCTCCAACAAAATCCACATTCTACCGAAGTTTCGACCATTACTTCTCTTACATTCCCAAAAATTATGCAGAAAGTGCTGAAGCACGGTTCATAACGTCAGGGGAAAGACAGATCGAAGAACGAAATCACAGCATTTTAGCATCCACTGAATTTCAAAATGTCTAATCTCCTTACTAGTACAAAAGAAAGAGGGGAAAAGGGGAAAAAACAGTTCTCCATATTTAATAGTTATATCTGGGCTGAGAACCCAATTAAGGCAACTATGGAGCACTTCGATGTGATGAACTCACATAGTCAAATAGGTTTCCGCCAGCTTGAGCTACAAAATTGTGGGTTGCATATCTCTTTGAGGTTTGGCGCTACATCATCAAGAAAGAAAAATGTCTGGTCTAAGAACCATTGAAGCCGAAATCTACAATGAGCTATTGCCTTTGACATCCCCTATCAAGGACAAGACGAAGGTTTAGAATTTCTAAATGAAAATGACATGCAACATTAGTAAAGAACAACTATTTTTGGGCAAACGAACACAGCAAGCAGAGCATGCTAAAGACTTCAGTTCCGCGCATACTTTATGAAATTTTAGGATCTAAATCAAGCCAAAATCTGTCCAATGTCAATGTGCAGTCAAGTTCTAAATAACGACAATTTACTAAGGAATATTTAAGGTGAATGCAAATACCACAACACCTGTTTAAGTGTTAGAGAGGCATTCTCATAGCACCCAAAAGATGCGCTCATTCAAGCCAGTGTTACTACAAGAAGCAATTAAGCAGATGCAAATAGTGTGAGGATCAGCAACGAATTGCATGACCAAACAAAATCCTAACCTTAACTAAAGAGATGCATGCATGACTACAAAGCCAATTCTTCAACTGGACAAAGCCACAGTTATCTTCTATATGGTGAATACCTTAACCATTTTTCCATTTTACTAATTGCCTACCTCATAAAAACTTTTTGAGTGTTTAGGCATGGGAACCAACAGATGGATCAATTCCCATTTTGATGTCGGCTAAGATATGCTTTCAACTGCCCACTTGCCGCCAAGATAAATCCTGAATCAGAGTAACACAAGTAAAGATGTGATGTCCCAGTAAAGCTTTAGGAACATGCATAAATTATTAATCAATTCAAACCCTGAAGACAAAATTACACCTTTCAACAAATCCAAAAATATACTTGAGGCACTATTCAGGTTGTTCTCCCCATTTTGCGCTACCAACAACAAATCCACAGACATTCAATTCTAACCTATACAACTTCCTGAAAGCCGGAGATAAGGTGTTGATAAAAGTTCGACTTAAAAACTACTACAGCGCGGCAGCGCCACACTGCTCAAATCCCAAACTCATAGCTATAACTGCATACATGCAGTATCTGCATGAATTACTATAAACTTATATCCTCTCATTAAATTAACTCTTACTGATAACGAAGTCTATAGTCAACTTCTTTTATCACTTTCCTTGATGAGAAGTCCCTTCAAAAGAATAGGAAATGTAGCTAATTTTTATTTGAACTAAATATATAAAAATAAATAACTGCATGATGAGATAAATTAATACATAAGTAAAGAATACATTAAACCAAATTAAAGCCAAGTCAATCTTTTCAATAAAAATTAAGCCAAATAAGAAATACAGACCAAAAGATAGGAAAAGCGCATTAAGTTGCTAAGAAATTCAATTATCGCTGATGAATTCATAAAATTTTCATTTCTTTTAGAAATATTATGAATCACAAGCCCATGCGTAGCATGGTATGCTGCTAGTGAAACAGATGAACCTTGAACCTATCCGCACAAAAAGCAAGTCTTAGGATGCATGTAAGTAGAGCACAGCCACAGGTCCTGATTCTTCATTGTTGTTCAGTAGATAACAACAATGCAACTGAAAACTTATATACTCGTATAGTTCTCAATGAGAACAAGAGATATTTTGGATTAACAGGCTTGCTCATTCAAGATACCTAGAAATAGAGCTGAGGGCCTCCCAGGTCGTGACTTAAATTCAGGGTGGAACTGGACACCTACATAAAATTGATGAGTTGGAAGCTCCAAAATCTGCATGCAAAAACCAAGTAATTCAGTTCATTTTGTAGTTTCCAGGCCAAGTTCTGACCAATCCCACTCATACTTAAGAAAATAAATTGAGATTCTTTACATGTCAAAAGAATCCTAGCTCCAACAAAAAGGAAATTCATAAGTAATTAAAAAGCCAGATAACCAAAATATCACTTGGCGGAAAACCTACCTCCATTCTCCTACCCGTTTCGTCCCTTCCAACAAATTTTAATCCAGCTTCTTCTAGATTTCCAATCACATCAGGGTTTACCTGCATCATCCCATGATCATCACAAAAGTAACTCTATGATCTTCATGACACTTCATCTATAGCAAAATCAACACTAGCTTCCAGCTAACCTCATATCTATGCCGGTGTCGTTCATCAACATATTCTGAGTTGCAATACCTATAAATAAGCAAGCAAAATTGAGAAAACGAGAGAATGTATTATTCCATTTATAATCTCATAACACTTCTAATAACACAGTTACCTTACAGCTATTTCTTGCAAATCACTAAGAAAGCCAAATACTAATAATTACCCAGTATTTCAATATAGACCATCATATTTAGCAAAAATTGTGTTTTTTGTATCAATCCCAATACCTCAGCTTCTAGAAACTGAACATCAATGTCTAAGCCTCAACTCAAGCGACCCAAAAAAATGTTCTGCGGATGTTTACTAGACAGAACGGTTAATCTTTTCTTTTCTAGAACTTCACAGTCCCCAACTGCCCCAATTTCAAGATGCATAATAGCTCTTTTTCCACTTAAAGGGCACATGGACAAATAGCACCACAGACAAAAACGAAGTGGAAAATGTATCACCTACAGTTTTGAAGTGATGCAATCTGGTGTCTGGAATAATGTTCTACGGGAACCCAGTCTCATGGTACTTCCCATGTGCGTTCTTGATCCCTGCACGCACATAACTGCATATTAGGACCTTAGACCAAATAGCACACTTGCACATACGATCTTTGTTAAGTTTTAAAACAAACAATAAAGCCACACCTCAGGCATGAACATTACGACAGGATTGGGCGTCTCAGCATCAAACTCTGTGCTGTTTGCTGTATCCAAGCCCAAAACCTAAATCAGAGACAAACATTAGTATAAATCTATATGCACACAAGAAGGGATGATCAAGGCTAAGTTAATGTACTTACAGATCTGGCAAACTCAATAACAGAAATTTGCATGCCCAAACAAATCCCAAGATAAGGGACATTATTTTCTCTTGCATACTTAGCAGCCAATATCATTCCTGTCACACCACGATCTCCAAATCCACCTGGAACTATGACACATGATGCATTCTGCACATTTATGCAAAAAAGGACATACAGCTATTATTTATTCAAACAACGGGAAAAAATGTTCCTCACCTCAACAAAACATCAATTGCGTTCGATCGACTTAAAAGTCACACGATAATAAAATGACAGGTTCTTGTATAAAGTCACAAGCATTTTGCTCAAAGACTTTAAACTACCAGATCTAATAAGCCATATCAAAAAAGAAAGAGAAAAATGACCAAAAAAAAAGTTGGTAACTGAAAATTGTGGTGATATCAACATTAGCACCGCAGAAAAAGCCAGGAAGTTTCTATGCAACAAAGCGTTTTTTCTGTTATTTCCGCTGCAATGCAAGCACAACAAATGCCAGTTGTTATAGAATACCATGTGCCTCTGTCATGAGAGCACACACTAAAAGTTGAAAGGAAAAAAAAAAACATTAGCTCTTAATCCATTGTAATGGCAATAATATTCATGTGATGCTAGCGAAAAATTCCACAAAGGTCATAGACAGAGAGAACAAGTTTGACAAAAATTAGTGATTAATACCTTCAGAGTTTCCCATGCTGCTGCATGCGCTTGCGGTGTCTGCATCAAGCAAAAGCATATAAGGAAGATAAATACAATAGAGAAACATTTGGAGAGACCCTTCATCATTGTAATTTTGAATGGAGATATGTAGTACAAACCGATTTTGCACTATCCTCTTCAAGGTCAGAAGCTGCAATCCAATCAATCGCTGGCTTCAAAGAACAAGCAATGCAAGCATGCAACAGGGCCTGTAAACAAATTAGTATGGAAGATTGATCAAATCCCAGATGTTATTAGGACTCCAAATTGGCAGCTGTTATAGTTTTAAATGCTTGAACCAAAAAATAAGTAGTCGAATAGATAGATTCTGCTTAGGGATTAACCTCCTTCCAACTTGTTTTATGTTCAAAACGAAACCATGACCGTCATTATTAAACTCATAACTGTTTATAAGGATTTAACATGCATACCTAAAAGATTCTAAATTGAACAATCAGGCCACAGCAATGTGGGATTTTTTTATACATGTCAAAAGGAATCCAAATTAATTAAGATTCAGTTTCAGATATTATCATCTCAGTGAACCAAATAAGTCAGAAATTGAAATCACACCTTGACTACAGAAAGATATGAATCTGTCAGGCCAACATATTTTCCAACTAACGCAATCCTCACCTGCACATATCAGTATTTTTTAATATAAGAATCTCCCAAACAGAAATATCAAACAGATCTGAGAATCTAGCTCTAACCACTAATTAGTCAAATTAACTAGCATGACTGACAGCATAAAATTCAAACAGAAATTCCAGAAAGAAACCATAATACTAACTGAATTAGTGAGATTATCAAAATTCTCAGCTCTCCTGGTCCAATCTTCCAAATTCGGAGGGCTAGCAATGCTGAAGGCACAGTTCAAAAAAGCTGTTAATAAATCGATAAATCTGGATAAGATTTCTATGGCTACCAATGACAATAGAATTTACACCTGAAGAATAAAACAGGAAAGACAGACCAATGAGTTCAGACTATGAAAATCTAGCATTTATGCGTGTATCGGTGGGGAAAAAGAAGAAAAGAAAGGAGACCAAGATGGATAATTAATCCAGGGGTCTAAAGAAAACACAAATGAAAAATGAGTACGTTCCAATAAGACAAATCTTTTGCCTGGCACCAGAAATGATCAAGAGTAATAGACTCATCATGTTACAGTTTCACCTTTCTATAAAGACAGCATCTCTATCCATCCAAAACTAAACAGTAGCCCCTATTATTGAGAAGACAACACACATCTGGCATTATTAAAATGTCAGAGAAGAAGATTCTCCAACTCAGACAATTTCATAATAAAAACATTTCTAGCATTCCTAAGCGCCTCCAAACAAAAAAAAAATTGCATAAGCCAAAATAAACTTAGTTGGCTTAAAAATACATAAACAAGCAGCCTTCACACACACGCAAGTCTTAAGCCGATTTACAGTAATTATTGCTCTATGCCAAACTTCATGCTTATCAGGTTGAATATTTCGAAAGGAACTCACCTAACCAAGCCTAGCTGATTCAGGATTGAGATATGAGCATTTTGGTTCTACAAACAAGACAAAGAGACGTTAAGGAGACTTCAAAAGATATTTGCTAAAACTCAGAAAAATGAATTGTCAGCATCTTAACCCACCCTAAGTAAAAGAGGAACGTGCCAGATGTTAGGAACATCATGGATGTTAAGAATATTACCAATCTGAAAAAGATCAAAATGCACGTAAAAGCTATGGTATCAATAGAGGTGCTGAAGTAGCCAAATTGAGAAAACACACCAAAAAAAAAAAGAATGAACCAATTACCGGAACATGGCAAAACTGTGAAAGCTTCTCCTTCGTATTTTCCAATAAGGGCTGCAATATAAAGGTGAGACATGATTCAAAATTGGCTTAAATTAAGCAAATCACGAAACATTGCTCGTGTATATGCTAGAAAAGCTATGAGACGGGCACAAAATCTCTTTGAATTATCAACATTGGTGGCGTTAATATACAAATGTTCCAAGAAGCACAACATTCAACCAGTCTAAAGTGGGGTCCACTGTATGAATCCTAATAAATCATAGCACTCAATCATGTACTAAAGTCCCATTAAGTTATAAATGACCCGTATCTTTCCATATTGTCTTCTTCCACGTCCTTTTAGGTCATCCCGTGCCCCTTCTAACCAAGGTTTCCATACCTTGCTCAAATCTCCTCACTAGGCGTCCAAAGGTCTTTGTCCACATGACTAAGCTATCTCAAACGACCTTCGCTCACCTTGTGCTCAATAGGGGCAAAGCCTACATTTTCTGGATAGATTGATTTCTAATCGTGTCGTTTCCCGTGTGTCCATGCATCCAAAAAGCATTCTCATCTACACCACTCTCAAAAACTCTGGCTCAAAATGGCTAGGAAAGGATATTAAAGCCAAGTGATTGCCCCATCAAAACAAAATTCACTAGAGACGTTCATGAGACCTCGGTACCACACCAAAATCATGAAATGGAGCAGTGAGTCCAACAAAAGAGCAAATGACAAAAAAGAGAATCTGCCTGCAGTCTCTAGGCTCTAGACCCAGAAGAAATGAATCTTGGACCAAATTATTTCATTGAGATTAAGTTGATAGTGTTTTGCATGTGGAAATCTTATACCTGAGCAGAGCGGCAAGCTAGAAGATGAGGAGTCAAGCCTAGTGCCCTCAATTCTCTGACACTATGTTGTGTTGGCTTTGTTTTCTGAGAGAGAGAGAGAGAGAGAGAGGATATCATACACCGAGTTCAACAAAAAAATAGAAAGAAGTTGAAATTCTTTAGATCCTTTGCGATTGAAATTAAGTGAAAGAAGTGTGTACTTGCTCTCCCACAACACCTAGTACTGGTATCAGGCTCACGTGGATAAGGCAGAAGTTATCTGGGCCTGAAGAAATTGAAGATTAACATCAGAAAGCTCTCCATGTTTCAGAAAAATGAAAAAAGAAACACATAAAAGCATCACGGCACAGGCAATAACACATTAGAAGCAGCTTGTCTAACCTGGGAATATAATGACACTAGTTAAGTTATATAATGCACAAATGTCTTAATTTCAACATTTTATGGGCATCATATGCACATGCTTCCACGAGTGATACAGCGACCCACTAAGTAAAATCCAGATACCATATCATAAAAATGCTCAGTATACAACCATATAAAAGAGGACGGCTGTCTGTAAGATCACAGCATGGATAATATATGGTCCATACTGTGTAGAATTAAGTACAACGAAACAACTAAAAAAAATTAATATTAGCAAAAAAAAAAAAAGGCAAAAGAAATGCCATGAACAGATAGGGAGAAAATATCGTCCTAGTTCCTTAAAGCAGATTGAGAAGTCAAAGAGTATACCGACTGAAAATGATAATTGTCGCAGAGCCTCAATAAATGGCATGGATTCAATGTCGCCTGGACAAAGCACATCCATCAGCTCTACCCCGGGAAGGGAAAATTGTAATGTATAATAAACAAGGTCTTTTTGGGGAAACAGAACTTTATCCTCTTTTGACTCTTACCTACAGTCCCTCCTAGCTCTATAACACAAACATCGGCAGGGCCTTCTTTTCCATCCACGGGAATAGCAGAGACGGATTGAATCCAATCCTTAATCGCATCCGTCACGTGTGGAACCACCTAGAAAAGTGCAGACACGGGAAGAGCCTAACTCTGAGTCCGTAATCTCATGTCAGAAAGCAGACAAGTCATTTAGAGCACAGGGATTACCTGGACCGTCTTTCCAAGGTAATCACCTCTCCTTTCCTTCTCAAGGACAGACTGATAAAAAGTGGGGATGTATCAATATATCATCAGCATAATATAATTTCAAATGTACGTGAACAAAAATACATGGAGAAGCAGTACTGTAGTAAATTAGAGCACCTGGTATATTTTTCCTGTGGTGATGTTGTTGTCCTTGGTGAGAGTTATATCTAGGAATCTTTCATAGTTTCCCAAATCCAGATCAACCTAAGAAAAGAAGGCGAGTTGCAAAGGCATAAAATGGCATATTGAGAAAACAATCGGTCTCGGACACCGATCTTTTGCCAAAGAAAATTGAAGTACAGGGAAAACGACATTAGCAGGACATGAACATTCATGCAACCTCTCCGCCGTCATCGAGGACAAAAACCTCCCCATGCTCAAAGGGAGACATTGTACCAGCATCCGTGTTCAAATATGGATCTGCAAGTCATGAAATTGTCGAAAACAACTGAGACTTAAAAAGTATTAAAAGGGGATCAAAACAAACAATAACAACACCCAGTAAAGCCAAGAAATCTGTCAGAAGGTGCTGTCTGCATCAGTATGGTGGCATACTCCTTTTAACCCGAAATAAGTAAAATAAACCAAGAAAAAAAAGCCGCCTCTCTTTCTTAACTAGGCTCTTTAGAACTCGAAGAACTTCATTGCCGCTCGTGAACGGCAAATAGCTACTCAACCAAAGCACTAGCTTTCCTTCTTCCTGCGGTTTTGGCTTTTGAGAACTCACCCTCTCTCCCTCTCTCGCTCTCTCTCTCGCTAAAACCATTTCGTCGCCACAAACCAAAGGAGACACAGCACAGCCAAAACATCGGCGGTCACCCAAACCAAACACCTAAACCAACCAGAGAAACATCCCCCAAAAGAACACAAAACTTGCTCATGAAAGACGGTGCTCGGCAAGCATCGTCACGCGTTTCGCGAACCTATTTTGATGGAGGTAACGCGGAGGCCACAGGCTTTGAGCACGACCCCGATGCTGCTCGCCGTCACGCCCTTGCCGAGGCCGCTGACGACTCCCCCGGTCACGAGCACGTACTTCATCCTCCCCGCCTCCCTCGCCGCTCCTCCGCCCCTCTCGCTCTGGACCGAAGCGAGACCGATCGGCGCCGGCCGCTCGTGCCGCGCGCAAGGAGCTCGACGAAATGCGCGAGCGGGAAATGGGAGGAGGCGGAGAGGGACGACCGAGGCGCGACGCGACTTGGGGAGCGAGGCGGCAGTGACGCCACGCAGGGGCGGTGGTGGTGGGGGTCGGGGGAGGAGCGAGGAAGCCCTCGAAATTGAGAGAAATTTCAACCGTGCCATTACTAATCTCTCTCTCCACGGAGGATTGTTCCGTGGACATGTTCAAAAGGTCGCGTGCTTTTTATTTAGTTAAGGAGGGTGGTCGCGTCTCTTCAGATGCGTCTTGTCGTCTTTCATTTTTTTATTGGGTTAAGCATCCGAAGGAAATATTCTTCTTCTTCTTCTTTTTTTTTTTTTTTTTGGGGGTCAAAATGGGATGGACATATTTAGAACTTAAACATGTGATGATGCCTGACACCAGTGATTGACACGTGTGATGATTATGTCGACACGTGCATACGACGTGCATTAGCTTTATAAGACCCGGTATGGGGAAAGATTCTCCCAAAAGATTCTTGGAAACGAATGGTGAACGCATATGCTTGAGTGCTTGTTTGTTTCGAATTAACATTGGGTTAATATTACCAAAAATTTTAAATCGCATACGTGTCACGAAAAATCTCAAACTGATATATTATTATATCCCAAATAGGTACATATGTATCATATATACCCCAAACTGATATACTCGTATCACTTTTATCCAAAAATCATGGTAAATTTGAAATTTTTTTGGAGGTAAATGTGACATAGGAACACCGATTTGAGGTAAATGTGGCACGGATTTATCAGTTTGGAATTTTTTGTGACATAAAAATTAGTTCTAAGTAAATGTGACGCAAGGGCACCGGTTTTGGGTGAACGTGACACGGGTGTACCAGTTTGTGAGTTTTTGTGACACGAAAATTAATTTGAGATAAATGTGGCATATTTGTACTAATTTGAGATTTTTTATGATACTAACCCACTAAAATTAAGTAAAGAAGAGCATATTTTTCCGCTTTCCCTCAAATTTAATACATTATCTAAATTTGAAAAATTATGAAAAATGGATGCCAATGTTTGTGTCCATATTTGTAACGTTGTCAAATGTTTTGACTGTTTTGTTTTTTTCTCTATTGCGAAAAAGGTTTCCAGTGTTTAGGATGTCAAAATGCCTGCGCCGCAAATGTTTTGGAGGCAGCAAAGGTACGAGGAGAGACCACTTTTTGCCACCACGAGCAATCCTTTGATGCATGTGACAGAGCTCCGAACATGAAGATCCGCAATAAGAGTCTCGGGCAATAAAGATCACAAACACTTCACTCGAGCTTGAGTCGATGCGTCTGTTGACGCTGGCAAAGGTAGTGCGATAAAGAATATTTTACTGCTAAGAGCTGTCCGTAGATGCATATGGTTCAAAAACTCGAAATATAACTCTTAAGTAATGAGATTTCTCGACACCACCGACACTCTACTCGAGCTTTTCGGGTTTGGTTTTTATCAGCTTCAATAGACTCGTATGCTTCAATTAGTTGGATTTGAAGTCAAACGAATTGGATTGGCTTCTCCTTTTGCCCGAAAACCAAGTTAGTCTATGTAAGGAAATGCGAGAAATTAAGTACGTTGCCGAAGCATTTAAGGAGAGTTGAATGTAACAGTTAGACTTTCACAAAACAAAAAATTAAGAATAATAAGTTAGCTTAGTGCATAGAAATGTTTGGAATAAGGCATGAATCCCGCTTGCATGCTGAAACAAAACGTTGGCTAGTAGACACTGGACACATGTCATTTGACTGAAGAATTCTACGTGACTAAGCTCACCTCAATCGACTTTGACAGAGATTAGTTTAAAATGCTTCTTTCGGCAAGCGGGGGGCGAATTAGCTATTGAAAAATTCAAGGTCGTCGAGGACATGTTAACGCGTCGCATTAACACCATTTCAGCACTCCAATTTGAAGCTTTTCGAGTGACGTGGTCTTTATAGTTAGTGGTAAGTGATGCTTATCTTTTCAATGAATTTGCAAACTCATGTTTTAAAAGTGACAGGACTTCGATATATTATGAGACATGAAAGGCGTATTTGTTGTATAAAGTCAAATTGAGCGTTTACTAGTTTTGATTGTTTGTGAATGGTGAGAACATTTTAAGAAAAGAATCGCGAAATATTATACATACTCTAGTTTATAAATGAATTTGGAAATAAATTCGAAAATGTTTTATGAAATGTATTAAAATTAATGAATCAATTTACGAAGGTCATTTGTCTTGGTTTGTAAAATTGATTTATGCTGTGGATGCTGAATAGGTTTTATGGATTATTAGAGGATGACTCGATGGTTTGATGCATATTGTTGGTATGAACCAATTGAGGGCTTTATGGGTATGCATGTTATTTTCAGGATATTCTTGTAAACCGAGTCACCGACAATATAGGTGGAGACCTAGCAAAAGAGATTTTAATTGCTCTTGTCACGACGCGTTTTTTTTTTGGGGTCAAACTTGTCATGAGGCGTGGCAATGGTCATATATCAAACTATTGATATGTGATTTGATAGAGAATGAAGAATGGAATTTTGATTTAATATTGTTGATTGAATGAGCAAGTCTGCTATGTATATAGTTACGTTAAAGTGATATAACGCTTTTTGATATTGCACATATATTATATATATAGGATTTTAAGTAAAAGAATTCTAAAATTATTTTGTAAATATGCATTGTAGACGTTCAATATGCTTAGATGAGATGTATATTACTCATTGGGTTGTGATTGCTTATACCATCTAACTTATATGTCTTTCAAGTTCTTCGACTAGTGGCAACTAGGACAAGAGTGCATGAATTTTTTTATAACTATATTTCGTGTATAAATTTAGGTAGTTGGATATATATATATATATATATGAGATGATAGTTGTTGGATTTAGCCAGTTATTGTTGATTATGTTTGAGACTGTATTATTTGGGAAGGATGGTGAGTCGTTTTTTCTATACTTATAGAAATTGGGGTGTGACGTTTACGAATGATTGGTTTCAAGGTGGATCGATTCCCACCCTGGAACCAAGAGTTGGACCAGATGGGGTTGGTTCCCATTCTATGGAATTGGAACTGACCCTATCCACTCGGGAATTTACTATGCCCAGCATAAGTAACTATACTGACAAGGCATTGAATCGACTAGAGCTCAAACTTTTAACTCGTTTCTTATCCACAATTCAAGGTCGCTCGAGTCCCAATTCATACAATGAAAACGCACACGTTGTTACTATCAGAAGGAGCTGCCCACCATCTTATGAATTTCGATAGAGCTTGTTAGGATTTCTATTCGGTTAATACAAGAAGTCAAAGTCGATGATGCCTTGCTCTAGATGAGAGGTGAAGTTCTAACTTCTTTCTCAGGAACTGAGAACTTAACCGGTTCTCTGAAAACCATCTAGAACTGACCGGTCTGAGTCCCGAGTCAGATCAAGATCCATGCATTACCCCCAACGACATTCGTTGAAGTTAAGAAACGTTACGAAAATTAATCTAAATTTAAACTAACCACGACTCACGAGTTTTTGTCCCGAGTAGACATGGCCATGGTTCGGAACCGACGGTTCCGATTCGTGGCCATGTATGAACCAAGCTGATTCTGGGGTTCCGGTTCGCCCGGTCGGAACCGGTCGGTAAAAATTAAAAAATAAATTATGAAATAAAAAAATAATGAATTATCAAATTATGAAATAATGAATTATTCAATATAAAATGTAATCAAAATGTATATTGTAATCAAATTTGGTGAAAAAAAGAATTTCTCCACTTATCTGCAGTTTTTTTTTTTTTGGAACTGGGCCCGGAACCAGGCCCGTAGGCCACGGGCCGGTTCCGGTTCCAAACCGCGGGCCAGGTCAACGGGCCGGTCCCGGGTTTGACCCGGGCCGAAACCGGCCCGTGGCCATGTCCCCGAGGGAGCCAGACCGTGTTCGGCGCGTGTCGACTCACCGCCGCGAGTACGGAGTCGAGATTTGAACGGCGTACTCGACCTCATAACGTCTCTTCACAGCCGCATCTTGTTCCGTCTCCGATGGCGGCGTCCAGGCACCCAGAAATCGGACGAGGCGCAGCAGCATTCCCATCGTCTTCGCTTGAACAAAGCCAGATTCCACTTGTTCATCCGTGAGCGAGACTCGCTATAAGCTTCCAGAAAAGAAACCATGGCTTCGAATTCGAATAATGCGAACTCGGCTTCTCCATCGACCTCGACGTCGACGCCGTCGACGCCGCCGGCGACGGCGTCGTCGAGCGGGAAACGCAGCAGGGACCCCGACGACGAGGTTTACCTCGACAATTTGTACTCTCACAAGCGCTATCTCAGCGAGGTTTTTGTCTCTCGCCCCCCCATTTCTTTTTCCTCTGTTCCCTCGTTTTCTGGTGAAAAGGGTTTTGCGATAGTTGCGGAATCAATTCCACTTCGAGCAAAATGCCTGAGTTCATTGTGGATGTCCCCGTACTCAATTTTGCAAGCGTTATCTAGAGATACGGAGTTCTTCTTTAGGGCGAATTTCTTGCGGTGGAAATTGCAAAATTTTCTCTTGGTTGTCTTTTACTGTAGTGATTTGATGTAGTTTCAAGAAATGGAAGTGGGAAGGAATCATGGGGCCTGGCTCGTTGACTTTTACTTCTTCCATAAATTCTAGTAGTAGGCTTTACAGGAAGCTTGGAACTGGTTAGTTTCCAAGCACTTGTCTGTTGAGATGTTTTGATTTGTGATGCAGATGATGGCTTCCAGCTTAAATGGATTGACCGTCGGGGACACCCTCGGCGAAAACTATATGGATTCTCCTGCTAGATCTGATAGCATGTTTTATTTTAGGTAAATCCATTGGATTTTTTTACTCAATTTGAATTTCGGGGTTCATGCACCCTCATCAAGTAACCATAAAAAGGGCAGCCTGGTGCAGGAAGCTCTCATGATAAGTGGGTTTAGGGGAATGGTCGGATCACTTCGGGTCTAAGGTACGCAGGCTTACCTTGCAATCTTTGCAAGAGGCTGTTTCCACGACTCGAACCTGTAACCTCCTGGCAACACAGTGACAACTTTACTGTTGTACCCTCATCAAGTAACCATAATTCAGCTAAATCATTCTTAGTTAGGCTAATAACTGAGATGATGAGCATCACGATGGTTTCGGGGATCCAAATCATTCTTTCATTGTGGAGGGTTTTGGGATTCAAATCAATCTTATCTTGCTAAGTCTTCCTAGCATGATTAGTGGGTATGTTTTTATAGTGCTGTCTGCGGTTGGAAGAATTGACTGATGGCAGCGGTTGCTTGTTGCCAGTTGCCAGGCAGTTGTTAGGACTGCAGTATAGGAGGCAGGTGCTGGAGGTTGCGATTGCGGTGGAGGCGAACCCATTTTGTGTTGGATGCCTGCAGGAGGTGGAGTGATAAGTTACACAAAGTTTGGAAAACAGTTTCCGGTGTTAAAGTATAGGGAAAGGAACTTTAGGAATTTAAGTACGCATTTTGCATTAACCAACAGAACATACCAGTGGACAACCACCGCACAATGCGCATGAAAAATACTTATGGCATACTTCTCTTAGGTGCTCAAAAGACTTTCATGAATAGGTGTCTCTGACGCCTCTCTCGTTCTTTCAGAGTGATATTCATCATCTTGTATTTGATGGAGAGGATTAGAATGTCACTCCTTTATTCGTTTGAGATTATGATTATGTGGATGGTGGCTTCATCCTGAGGTCATGTAATTGTGGGATGTCTCCCTGCATCAGTTTACTGGATTACAAGATTAGATTTAATGCATCATCCTAGAACGCTCTTTGCACAATAAGTTCATCAAATTTACGCATTGATTTTGGCTCCCCCCCCCCCCAAAACACCTTTCTTTCTATGTTATTTTGGTTAATATTTGTTGTGTGACAAACATTTATTTTCAGGGATGACATGTCCTCACAGTATTCACCAATGTCAGAAGATTCTGATGACTCCCGATTCTGTGAAATCCCGATAAATGCTTGTTCATCCCAGTCTGACAGCCTCCCAACTAGTCCAGTTTCTCCTTATAGATGTCAGAGACCATTTGGTGGCCCATCATCTGCTACTCCTATAGCTTCATCCCCTTCATATAGTCATAACCTTGTGGCACCCACATCGTCGCAGACCCGCCAGCGAGGCTCAGATTCTGAGGGCCGATTCCCCTCGTCTCCCAGCGACATATGCCACTCAGCTGATTTGAGAAGAGCTGCACTCCTCCGCTCCGTGCAGATGAGAACACAACCTGCTCCCATTTGTCCGTATGAATCACCTTTTGCTTCGGGGCAGGAGGCTGTGCCCAATATGGAATCTGAAGATGTGAAGTCTCTATCCGATGAAAAGGACTATCATATAGAGGAGTGTCCTTCAAGTGGTGCCTCTTCTTCTGATTTCATTGAAGAAAAAACATGCGGAACACCAAATTCAATTACTGGAAAGGGTTGAATCTGGGATGTAGAAGCTTGAGCATGAGTTAGAGAGGCAGAGTCGATGTTTGTTTTGGAGATCCATCTGGACAAATAATACGAACATGGCGAGGGTAAGGGGTGTAACGGCTATCCCCAAGAGATATATGATTAGTCATGTGGCACACTTCGAGTGTTTTTAGCTATCTAAGTTCGATACCGATTTTTGAGGGGCCGACTTGCTGGTGGGTTTCCTGGTATGACTTGCCTTTCTAATGTGATTTCTGAGGACAGGAATCATTAGGCAAAAGTTTATTATCATGATATCGGGGTTGATAGGTGATCTCGGCAGCAAGATAGCTAGTGAGTTGGCAAGATTCCTTGGATTGAGAGCATGGTCCATCCACGCGTCTTTGAATCTGTTTGGTTTGCTGAGAAAAGTCAAAAGGCAACTTTTGATCAGGTTCTCTTACGTGTCATGACCTTTTGTACTTTTCAAATAGATCTTCAGATGAATGTCACATGATCATCTCTTATTATTGAGTGCGGTATCTCTCTGGTAAAACAGACGCCAGCGTGAAGAAAGAGAATCTCCTTTGCATTTTGCTGTGGCAAGAACCATTGCCATGTTTGTTTTTCTATTGTTAAGTTGTTGCTTTTATCATAATATGTCACTCTAGCTTATGACTTTTTGCCTCTTCAGAGAAGTAGGTAATGCTTTATTGGCATCTACAGATACAAACTGGGAATGGAGGTGAGCCTGTAAGCTGTAAGCTACTGTTATTTGGTTCTTTGATCTTACTTACATTCTCTTGATTTTTAAGGAAAACATCTGCAGTTGTATGTATTAGGAACAGGATTAATTGTTTTGGCATAGAACAGGACTTAAGGTTTGTTTGACACCATCTACCGCTAATCTTGCGGCAGACAGTTGCACTGATCCTTAAGTTGAATATTTGTTGTTATGAATACGGGTGTCTGGCAGAAAGTCTTAGGATATTTTTCTTTATTGCAAGTTACTGAAGTGATAATTAAGACATCATAAGAGCTTAATCGAGACATTTCAATGCGACAATGGACGAGGGGGTTAAATCCTGTAACCAAGTGTTATAATTAAAGAAGAAAGTACAATTACGTACAAGTGTGCATCTACAATATTTTATTGAAGAGTGTCCTTTAAGCGTGTATTAAGTAATTAAATGTTGAAGATGATAATTTTCAAAACACAGAAATTTCTCAGGGTATGCATAATATCAATTCTATGGTAAAAGAATCTTTCCTTAATAAGCATGCTTAACCAATGTCTCCGCGAACACTACTTTCGGTGCATGTTTGTTGACCTTTGGGAAAATATTTCCAGTTCTTACGGCCTCAATAGATGTGGTCCATTACCATATTTTTTGGCAGATGGACATCCTTTCTAGTTTTCATGCAATCTGGGGCTTACCATCCTGAGAGGATTTCAAGGTTTTGCTTAATGCTTAGGAGAGAAGATGACTTCAGGTTGATTATTCGCTTAGCCGTCGGCCCAATTCCCTAAAAAAACCCCAAACTTTAGCCTTTGTCTCAATTATATCCCAAATTTTTTTTTGTCTCATAAAAAACCCCAAATTTTTACTTTTGTCCCAAATCTACCCCGTTAACTTTTCGTCCAATTTTTTAATATTATTTTTTATATTTTTGAATTTTTTATTTTTTCTTTTCTTTTCTTTTTGGACAAAAGTAAAGTTTGGGGTTTGTTATGAAACAAAAAAAAGTTTGAAATATAATTGGAAAAAAGGCTAAAGTTGGAGGTTTTTTAGGGAATTGGGCCCTTAGCCGTCCCGTTCATTCAAGATTGTTTGAGATTTAGGGCAAATAGTCATTGGTGTCTGGTAAAACTTCTTACTGCCCATAATAGACCAACTAGATACTCGAAAATTGAAAGAGCGACATCGATGGATGATCCCACGTTCGGACAGAGATTCGACTTAAATCTCTTTTCCATCGTTTCTTCGTAAAAGAGTGCGCTTATGCCACCTTTTTTCGAGCGCTTTCTGATGGAATTCTCATCATTTACCTATTCCGTATTCTCTTTATATATGGAAACGCAGATGACTCCAACACCGTGTAGAAAATAGACAGTTGTGCTCTCTCCACAGTGTGCGTAATTTCCATATCAAAAGAGCACGAATTAACGAAATTACGTTTAATAATCAATATAGAAGCTAAGAGCAAATTCAAAAAGGCAACAAAAAAAAAAAACACCGTATGTACATTCTTGAGCTTCAAATGGATCCTTAAAGAAAAAGAAAGGAACCTATGTAAAAATTGTAGCGAAGTAGCATGAGACGACTATGAATGTGGTTTGTACAATCTATCTGTCAATGTTGTTTTCAAATAGTTTTGGCTAAGTTAAGCTAAACTCAAGATAGTATCCTTATGAAGATAATATCCTTTTATCAAAAATTTTCATTTCGTTCACGTGGCAAAACAGTGCCAAGTGTCGTGCCACTTGACAAGCATAGACTTGAAGAGAAGTATCACCTGGCGAGCACAGAAGCGGCTCCAGCTTTAACAATGTATAAATAGATCATTGTATATCCAGCTAGGGCTTGACCTATGTGGAAGGACCGTATCATTCAAACTAGTATAGATTTTAAATCTTTCTACTAACGATCTAGACTTTGGCCCAATATCTACCCCATACAAAACAGTATCTTTTGATGAGCACTTCAAATGAGGACAACAACCGGATTTGAAGGAAAAAGCTTCTGAGAACGCCAATCGAAATGGAAAGCATATTCAGAATAATGATATAGAGCTGCTCATCAACTATTAATAACTGTGTAAGATAAAACTAGAAGCCCTGTCAATAATTCTGTTACAGAAAAACTGAAGCCTCTTCCGACAAAAATTGATAAATTATTACCAAGTTAAGGGTTTGAAGGGAGTTTCCTCACTAACCAAGAAAGTACTCGACTAACACGAGGCCTACGCTCAGTATCAGAGCATATCAAATCAAACAGGAGTGGTGAGGCGGGGCCAAATCGTTGCAGACAGTCAGAATGCTGCAATCCTTTCATGAGTTTTGTGACTCCTTCAAGCTCAAGCATATGATGACAGTATATTCTTCTTGAGGGTGAACTCATCCGCCTTGGCAGCGCTGATCGACTGCAAAAGAAAAGGAAAGAAGGTGGTTAAACAGTTGAGTGTGGATGGGAGTGAGAAATGGTAATGTCAGCAGTTCTCCTGACGGTGAATTGCAGAAAGCTAGAGTTTTAGTCTTATTGTAAAAACGAATTCCTTGAGAAAACAATACCCTTCTTAAGATACTGAATCGCCATAAAATCTGGGGTAAACTGTAAGACATTGGGAACTCGATACTGAGAATTTATGCAAAATACCTTCTCAAGCATTCGCTGGAGCCGCTCAATTTCTTTTGTGGCATAATCAGCACCCTTATCCATACAGTTTTTAGCAGCCTTCAGATAGATTTTCCCGTATCTGTGTCAAAGGTAAAGATACATATTAAAGCCAAACGTTTCAGAGGTTTAATCTAGCAACATAAGTTTCTGAGACTTAACAGACTAAAGGCAACAGTAGTTAATTTCAGGAATGTATTCACTTTACCATTGATAGAGAGGTGAGAAGAAAAAGAAGAAGAAAGAGTTACTAGGGAATTAGGTCAAAATGACTACCTTACGCTAGAGCCCTCAAGCTTCCCAACCTCCTCTTCAATCTTGGAAAAGACTGCTTTCTTCTCCTCACCAGTAGCAGCCACAAACTCCTTCACCAAAGTATCAAGACTGGCGACTATCCCAGCCTGTCAAAAAGAATTATTAATCGACTAAGTCTTCAAACAAGAAAGAAAGATCGAGGAAACCGATTTCATATCAAATCATCAATATATAAGAAAATCAACTAACTTTTGAAGTAAGCTGTCCCTTCGCATCCCTACTGGTTCCACATTTTTCATTGATGAAGTTCACAAAATCATCCAAATCCCTTCCACCGTCATATTCTTCACCATCTTTGTTGTTCTTTGGGAAGAACTTCAATGTAGGAAAACCACTCACACCATACCTGCAACATACCAAGAGCATTCAACACTGATTCCCCGAGTTTTGACATGAGCACGTTTAACATTATAAATCTATATAGACTTGATTACCAGATTATTATGCACTTACTTTTCACCTAGATCTTTGTACTTGTCAGCATCCAAATTCGCAATAACTACATCTTCTTCTGATTTGAATGCTGCGGCTACTTTTTCATAAGTCTGCAAGAAACCAGAAATTTGGATTACTCAAGCAAATGCTAAAAACTCATGCTAATTCTATACTGTTTATGAAGCATTCTTACTTACAGGAGCAAGAGCTTTACAGTGGCCACACCTGAATGAAGGTATAGACACTTAATTAGCACCACTTAACAAAAAATTGCTAGAATGAATACACACGTTTTGGCAGGGAATCTATCAAGACATAATGCCCATGCCAAGGAGATTTTAACAGCACGAACACAAAGTCATGCTTACCATGGTGCATAGAATTCGACCAAAACATCTTTCGTTTTGTCCAAGACAATCTCATTGAAGTTGTCCGATGTTAGCACGGCTACACTGGATGGTACTGCAGATATCTTAACATTGGTCCCTGCACACAATTATTTTTTAGGGGGATTCAAGCTGAAATTTCATGAGGGAAAATCATACGGCACAAGTTCACAGTAATTCTGGCTGCAAACTAATAATATCAACTTCCCTTATTGACTCTTTCCAGAGAAAGTTCTATAGTAGCACCATAAGAGAACACCCCATACCGTGCGTCAGGTACATATGCAAGTTTTCGTTAAGAGAAACGATCACAAATGGTGGTTACAAATATTGTCTCCAGAATCCAGATATTAATTGTAAAGCCAGTGAAAAGGGTCAATGGAAGTTATCTATGTCCAGCAAACACAAAACACTGCACAATCTTGCATTTCTATCGAGTGGTATGAGACAAATTATACAAAGAAGATGCACACCTCCTTCATTATTCACAAACTCAGCTAGTGCCTCCACAGTCCGCGGTCCTTCATACCTGCAAGGTTTGAGAAACCAAATGTTGTAAGCATTTTGAAAGTCATCCATCATTGGAGGTGCACAAAGGTAAAAACTTTTATAACCGAGATGACAAATGTCTCACTTTTTGGGCTCCAAGGAACCTTTCGGGAACCACTGAATCGTCGGGTATCCAGAAACACCATATTTGCTGCATAAACTCTTGTGTTCATCGCAGTCCACCTATGCAAAATCAACTTCCAGTTTGTCAGCGAAGTATTTCGTGGGAAAATACTCGAAGTATGTTTTTCCATATGATCATAAACTATCAAATAGAGAAAAGAACCTTCACCAGAGTAGAATTCCACAGTTTCAGTCGAAGAAGAAAAAAATGGAAGTTCTATATTCCCCATAATCTAGAGGTGGAGCACTTTGAACCCTAAACCCAGTAGGAGCCATGTATCCCCAATCACCACCCCCCCCCCCCCCCCCCTTCTTTCTTCTTTTCTACTTTCTGGGTGTTAAGTCCAACATAAACATAAAGTTCAGGTTTGGGGTTCAAAGTGCTCCATCTAAAAAGATCGAAGGAGGTAAAGTCAAATTCAAAATCCCATCTCCCCCCACCCCAAAACCAAAACCAAAACCAGAAAAGAAACAAACTGAGCGAGTTCAATTAACGCAGAAACCTGCTAGTGCCACTAGGAAGAAACGAATATACAGCTTGAAGCGGTTATTGATTATAAGACACATGGGAAAGTACAATTTTGAAGCTTACCTTTCCTATCAAGACAGACTTCGCTTTCCTAAAGCTAGATCCCAATTTCTCGTACTCTGGAGCAAGCTTCTTACAGTGACCACACCTGTAAAAGTAATACAACCGATGAGTCAAAGCAGAGATTGTCATCAGAGACTGTTCGTTCCAAAGAATCTGATCTCGAGCCAGAAAGAAGTATCTCATTCGCATGCTAGACATAACGCGAACACGAAGCAGGTGATCCTAAAATAGATCTAGCAACCGATCAAATGACCACCCATGCGTTCACCAGAAGCCAATCGCTTCGTCGGACAAATTCACACTGCTGAACCAACGCGGCTCGAAAGGCAAACAAAAGCCGCGAAAAACCAGTAGATTACAGGAGACAGATTCCGACAGTACCAAGGGGCGTAGAATTCGACGAGGGCTGCTCTATCTTGGCCGACTTCCTTGTCGAAGTTCTCCTCCGTCAACACGAGGACGTCGTCGGCGAGAGCCGAGACCAACAGCAACGCCACAGCGGCGGCTCCGATCCAGATCTGAGAACTCGCCATTGTCCTTGACCTCGCCTGGGTTTTGCTCTGCGATTTCCCCTTTGTCCAAGCTTGAAGACGACCGAGAGACAGAAAGAGAGCTTATAAATAATCCAGTGTGTTTGGGTCCTTTTTTTTAGATTGTTTTAATTTATTTCGGTGGCGGAATTGCGTACGCCGCTTCGATGGGGTCCGACTTTTAGACGTTCGCTCTCTGAGCCGTCCGATCTCGCTCTGGTATCATCGTGGTTTGCGGTGATCATCGGGCTACTGCGATCTAACGGTGGATGCTTCGGTAATAATCAGGTGGAGTCGATCGGTGACGCGGAACTTAGTACGTGGCAGTCTGTGAGAGGATGGAACTGGAGTTTCTGGAAGACGGGACGGAAATAGGGTCCGCGTTTAGCAATCCCGTTCTTAACTTCCTTCCGGGACCGAAAGAAGCAATCGGCAAAACGACCCCTCTCGGCCTTTATAGGTGTCTCGGAGTATCGCGTTAGATTTGAATCATAACCATTCGTAATTAAATTATTAACTATTTTGTTCACTTGTTGATATATGAGCCCATTAGATTTGAATCACGTTTATGTAACAAATGTTTAATACACAAATTAGCCAGAAATTCACTGATGATTAGGTTCGAATTTGTGACCTCGTGAAATCTAGTATGGCTATTTTATTATTGGGCTACCGCGCTTGATTGACCCGTTCATACTTTCCTCGTCTGCAACAGGAAGATGGCGAGTGAGTGACTCGGCACTCTTTGTACCTTTTATTTCAATTTGTTTGTCATGACTTGCATTAATATTGTCGCTAATCTTTGGATGGGTGGATATACAATAGAATTCATCCGCAATCAAGTCATCTCGTGATTTTTCAAACTAAATAGATTTTTTCTTTTGCAAGAAAGAGTCAATGGGATAAAACAAACAAAGTCAACTGGTGTAGACGAACTATGTGGAGCAACTCATATTTTCTGAAGTGCGATATTATTTCTGTCTAGATCGAATGTAAAAATACATTGTTGAAAAATAAAATAAAAATTTAAAATATGTTTTTAAAATGATCGTTTGTATCGAATTTAAAAATTAACCAATAAAAAATATTTTAATCGTTAAAGAAAACGTTTAAGTACAAACTGTTAATAACGAGATTATTTTTCATTGAATTAATTCTTTTAAACGATACAAATAACCATTTTTAGATTAATATTTTTTAACTCATTAATTACTGATTTTCCATTAAACCAAATCATCCGTTTGCCAAAAACTTCTTCGTGGGGCCGGGAGCGACCGTGCCGGGGACGGAGGACTCCCCCTCCGGTGACTCCGCAACAAATAGCGAAGCAAAGCGTGGCGCTACCCACGTGGCGATCTCCCATTGGCCGAGACACCCAAACCCGTGCTTCCCATTGGTCAGTTTCCTCAGTAACACGTAGCGAAAGCATAAAAAGTGTCACACCTCCAGGCTCGTCAAAAAGCTCGCCGGTCAAGTCGCCTCGTCGATACGGGGGGTCGTTTTAACCGTCTTCCACACGAGCTCCATTCGACTGCTTCATCCCCGAGCCTTCCCTGAGCACGAAGGAGACGCACGCGCATTGTCGCTCGTGTCCCCTCTCCGAGAACCCTAGCTCCTCGATCATTTTGCACGTCGAAGCGAATCGCGCGGGATCCGGACGTGCGGTGGGGACTCGAGGCGATCCGTCACCGGAGAGATCTCCGAGCTCTCTCCATGGCAATGCCGAGGAATAAGCTCCTGCTCCTGCTCCTGCTCTGCGCTCTGTGCAGCGCCTCGATCGCCATTGCAGGGTACGCATCTCGACCATTCGCGATTTTGAGCTTCCGGCCGCTTATGCTCTGCGGAGGTCATCACTGAGGTGTTGGGGCGTGTTTGCAGGCAGAGTTACTACGACGTATTGCAAGTGCCGAAGGGCGCTTCGGACGAGCAGATCAAGAGAGCGTATCGGAAGCTGGCGTTGAAGTACCATCCCGACAAGAACCAAGGCAACGAGGAGGCTAATAAGAAATTCGCTGACATCAACAATGGTAAAAGCCTTTAGGTCGCGATGGTTTATTTATTTATTTATTTTTGATTGCGCGAGTTCGATTGTGGATGTGAGGAGGTTGTCTTTTGAGTGCGTTTGGCTTCGTTTGTTGCTGACTTTCTGGTTTGATGGATCAGCGTATGAGGTGTTGTCGGACGGCGAGAAGAGGGGCATTTATGATAGGTATGGAGAAGAGGGCCTTAAGCAGCATGCGGCTAGCGGCGGCAGAGGCGGAGGAATGGGAATGAACATACAAGACATATTCGAATCGTAAGTTGTGTCCGTTCATGTTGAATCGAATAGGAAAGTGGTGACAAAGAAAAAGGCACGGAGGACCTCCATTGATGTCTTTGAGATACTGCAGAGGTGGAATTTTATTGAACCCTTTAGGCTGTCCCAGAAAAATGATTGAGCTTCCTGATTTTTGGTTTCATTAGGACTCTAGGATGGGTAGGCACGATGCTTTTATTCGGCGTTTCATTCGTCAGCCAAGAAAACTTCTATGAACCATAGTTATTAGCGTGGTTGTTATGATATTGTGTGTAGCGATTAGTATAAGTTGGGAACTTCTTTTAAGTTTGAAACTTCTCTGTAACACCCTTGCATTAACTCCGGTATTGTTCGCGTCGCCCGTCCCAGCAGTTGTGTCCTTACATCGGTCTGAAGCTGTTGAGTTATCAGTCAACACCCATCAAATGGTCAACACCTCGTGTAGATACTTCGAATACTCCCTTTTGGGGGCTTAGCCCAAGTGGACTAGGTCCGGTCATTACATTGTCTTTAATTTATTTCAGATCATATATAGGTTTGTATTGTGAGGAAGTCTTTAATAGTTAGTAATGCCTCCTTTACTATAGCTTAAAACATGGTCAGTAGGTTCATCTTTCTAGGATTTCTTACTAGCGTATGATACCCCAGAATGTTCGGTGGCGGAGGGCGGATGGAAGAGGAAGAGCAAATTCCAAAAGGTGATGACGTGATTGTTGAGTTGGATGCAACACTTGAAGATTTGTACATGGGAGGTTCATTAAAGGTACTAAGTATGTCTGCAATGTGGGATTTGTCAAATTATATTTGGAGTTAAAGACCTTCTGTGTATATATACTTAGTGTGCATAGTGCTTCAATTCAATCATTGGCCCAATTTATGAATATGATCTTTGGAGCAAGGATGCTTATGTTGCATGGACTCAATCTCTTGTATTCCATATCTGTATATTTTACTCTATTTGCAGTAGAAAGAAAATACATAATTAAGCTACTATTCTTCAGTTATATTCTTCTTTTACATGCACTTTTATAATTTTATCTAATGTAAATGAGGCAGAACTGATTTGTGTTTATACAATGATTGTCAATAAAGTGGTCGAGGTGTCTTCACACGATATAACGTTTCTTCCACAAAAAAAAGAAAAAAAGAAACAAACAAACGAAATTTTCAAGTATCCTCATAGCCAATCTTCTATTTTGTTTCTTTCTTCTCTTTCCAAACTGGGCCAATACACGCGTTGATTACTATTCTTCTTTTTCCATTTCCAACTTATCCTTTTCCTGATCGTTGCGTTGACTATATACGTATTCTTCTGAGCGAAATCTGATGTTAATCAGGATAAAAATTAATTTGCATGGGTGTCCTTCTAGAAAATCTCTTTGAATGTTAAATAACCTGAACATTTGCGAAGTGAAATGGATTATCTTTTACCCGCTAGTTCAGGCCTTATCTTTTTCCCCTCTCTTTCTTTGTTGCAGTGAGTCATGAACTAATTTAGTCTTTAGGCGGTTTTTTGGTTAAACATATGCTTTACTTATGCTTTGTTCTGGTGATTATCACCAGGTTTGGAGAGAGAAAAACGTTATAAAGCCAGCTCCAGGAAAGAGACAATGTAACTGTAGGAATGAGGTTTATCACAGGCAAATAGGTCCAGGGATGTTCCAGCAGATGACAGAGCAGGTATATTGTTGCTCTGATAATTTTGTGGAAAATAAGACGTATTGATAGTATGTCAAGTTGAAGCTCTGCCAAAAAATGTGACTCTCTTGGTTTCCTTTTAATACAAATTATATGTGTGCATCAGCAGCAGCATGTTCCTTTCTTTATTTTTAAGCTTTGCTCTCATTGCTCATGGAACTATAGAATTACCTCATTTAGCATTAGACATTTGAGGACGCTAATTATGATAATCTCTGTTTTCTTTCAGGTATGCGAGCAATGCCAAAATATTAAGTATGAACGAGAAGGATATTTTCTCACCGTCGATATCGAGAAGGGGATGCAAGATGGACAAGTAAGCTTTTACTAGTTCCTTTCGGCTTTCTTGTTGCTATGAAAGTTGCCATCCTTGGTGGCTTCCATGCCAAAGACCACTTGCTACATGTTCATGGAAATTTTGTCGGAGAAGCTGAAATTGTTAGCTATAATAGGCGCTATGGTGCTGCTCAGTGATCTTCTTGATGTTGCACATCCACATGAAAAAGATTGGTGCTGCTATAGGGTTATTTGGAATAATAATATCTTATGAAACTCGCATGCAGCAAGTATATTTGATGGGACCTTTTCTTTGCACACTTACTGGGGTTGGGAACGTTTTATTGATGTGCATTTTTTCATGCATTTTGTGGCATTGATACTTCTCTGGCACTTGATAGATTTTTATATGTTAGTACTCTTACTGACTATCTGCGTAGGTTTTCTAGATGCCTCTACGTACCATAAGTAATATTAGCTATCACGCTATTTTTTCCTCACACCGGGAATCAACATGCTTTTCTAATCACTTGCGTTTTGAACCAAAAGACATAGATTATGATTGCAATTCTATTGTTTTCCCTTTTCTTATACTGTTTCACGTCAGTAGGTTTTTAAATTTTCTTTTGGATGCTTTTTGATAGGAAGTGAATTTTTTTGAAGACGGGGAACCTAAACTTGATGGAGAAGCTGGAGATTTGAAGGTGAGTCTTTAGCTTGAGTTGTAAGTATCAGGCAGTTGTTTACTATAACATAAGCTAACCGCCTGTCTTTGTCAGTTCCGCATACGAACAGCTCCGCACGACCACTTCAGAAGGGAGGGCAATGACTTGC